ATTATGACAATCGTTAATCTATACTTCATGTATCCTAAACTACAACTAATGTTCTAGTTAGTATGATGACAATCACCAATCTGTACTTCATGTATCCTAAACTACAACTAATGTTCTAGTTAGTATGATGACAATCGTTAATCTATACTTCATGTATCCTAAACTACAACTAATGTTCTAGTTAGTATGATGACAATCGCTAGTCTGTACTTCATGTATCCTAAATTACAACTAATGTATTATTTTTCATTTATTTTTAGGTGCTTTTTATGTATAAACACGCTTGCCCAACTGTCCATTTCATACTAATATGAGCTGCTCAGTGGCTCGGCAGTGAGTGGGTTTATAACACTAAAAATTGAGTTTTGATACCCACAGTTGGCAGAGCACAGATAGGTCATTGTGTAGCTTTGTAATTAAAACAACAAACAAACAAACATACTAATATTAGTATTTTGATTGTATTATTTAATTCATGGTTTGTATGTGTTTATTTCTTCTATGTGTTTTCTAAGCTTCATTTTCAAAATATTGTTTGGATTATGCTTAATTTGTACTTGTCTGTCAATAAAACTTTGTTTTCGGTCTTCACTGATGATGGAATAAGTGTAGAATGAAATGTTCAGTATGTGTACAAAAACTTTCTCACGGTTTCAGTTGTGTTTGTATTCATTTTAGTATTGTTTTGTGGACCTCTTCTTTTTTATATATATCAGGTGTATTAAATCAATTCATAATGTTGCTGTTAACAAAACTTGTTGGATACTAATGATTGAACTCGATAGAGGTAATGTTTTATTTTTCCTGTAGTTTATGTCACACGATGAGAACGAAACAGCTTTAATTTTGCTATTTATGAACAATTTCACATATAGCAATAATAATGTTGAGCATGTAGGTACAATTTTTTATAGTTATCATTCAAACTAGCGACCTCTTTATACACCATTCATTACCGGTGGACTCTAAACATTGTACCGTATTGAATAATTTGAAGTGTTTATTAAGGTAGCTGTATTCATTACTGGATTAATTTGTAGTTCTGAGCTTATGTAGGTAGCTTGGTTTGATCAGAAGTTGTTGATGATAATAACATACATTATAAAGAAATGACTAAAAAAACTGGATGAAAATAGGTATTTAAAATACATATGAGATGCTATCAGTGATTAGTGAAATTAACTGTAATATTTATGTTACTTTCATATAATTTTCTGTGTGACTTGTATGTTATTAGAGACCCTGGAACCAACAAAATCACAGACCCACAAGCAATATGCTAAATAATTTAGAAACTTGTGTTTTAAAAGCCAGTGGAGTCCATATGGACTCCACAAGTAATTCTAGCACTAAAAGTGAAATTTGAAGAAGGATAAAAAAATAATTATATCCTCTGTAGTAAGAGTATATAAAAGTAAATTTAAAAATGAATATTTTTGTAATATTGCTTTATTATGAAATACATTTGTTTATAACCATTGAGATTAATAACATAAAGCATTATTCTCATTAATCCATTCGTGCAGCTGGTACGTATATGGCCTTATTAACCCATTCGTGCAGCTGGTACGTATATGGCCTTAACCCATTCATTCAGCTGATACATATATGGCCTTAACCCATTTGTGCAGCTGATACATATATGGCCTTAACCCATTTGTGCAGCTGGTACGTATATGGCCGTAACCCATTCATGCAGCTTGTACGTATATGGCCTTATTAACCCATTCATGCAGCTGGTACGTATATGGCCTTAATCCATTCATGCAGCTGGTACGTATATGGGCTCTAAATGTTTTACTGTTCATTGCATCAATTCATCAGTCAATGCTATCTAGTAAATCCATAAAATAAGGTAGTTTTTCTCCAGCCTTGTCTGTGCTTGCTACCATGGCAGCGAGATGTTGTTGTACAGACTTCTCTGACATCTTAAAGGAAACTGATGCATCAAAGGCAGCAATAAATGACTTGCTGTATGGTAACATATAAAGGAATTTCAATGGACAACATTACCACAAAAATTTACAATCCAACACCTCGTGTGAGAATTTTAAAAGCAAGAATCCACATGTGTATCAACTGCAGTGAATGGATTAACAAATCTTTGTAGGATTATGTTATTTTTGTTTAGTTTAAACATATAGTAGCTAATCGAAGAATAGATTAGGCCTCTACGTCATCTTTTCTGCACTGAACTTCACATTTTCATGAAGGAAATAAATAAAATCAGGTTTATTGTCACAAGTGATATATTATTAAGTTGAAGTTGACCATAGAAACCAGTTTGTGGGGAAGAGCACTCCTGGTATAAGAAATTACAATAACTTTATGAGATACTGTACGGTGAGCAAAAATAATATTTGGTGAAACTACTGCTTATTATTTTAAATTGAAACTTGATATTTTGTCAGTTCAATAAACTTGTTTTTGTTTACTGCATGTTATAGTTTGTATTTTTCAAGGTTGTAATTAAATAAATAACATTTTTTTAGCTTGCTTTTTTTTTTAATAGTCCCTCGTTTTTAATGAACAAAATTTTTTAATCACATTTTCTAAAATTAAAATTAAACTTTTAATAATTAATATAATAGGACAAGAACATTAATGTATAATTCCAACAATTTTTGTGTCACCCAGTGGGTCAGCTGTAAGTTTACAGACTTACAATGCTAAAATCTTAAGTTTGGTTCAATTAATTGACAAAGTGTAAGTGTAGCTTTTTGCTACAAATCTTGTGTTTTATGTTACTGAATTATGGTTTCCAAATGCATATAAACAAAGTATATTTTTGAAAAACACAAATGACTTTCGGGTTTCCTAAGTTTCTTTTGTGCCTGAATCCTGTATTACATGCATTACAAAAAAATATGATGGAGAAACGTTTTCTTTGAATTTCTTACTTTAACATGCCCGTATTGCACAATAAATGTTTTTATGAAATATATTTTGGTAGTTGAGGAACCAACAAAAATAATCCCATGGTTTATTTAGACTGTTATCTGGTGGTGAGAGCATTCAACTACAGAAATTGAAGCATTTGTACGTGTATTAAGCAACAAAGATAGATTAGTTAGCTGTACGTTACAATATGAAATGGGAGGTAGTGTTATATTTTTAGTTGTGATTTTATTTTTTATAAACTACTTAGTGGTGAATGTGCAAATTTCATGCATTCGAGAAGCCTTTATTTGTAATTCTTCAATGCAAAATCACAACGTGTCAAAGTTATTAATATACAGCTTATTAAGCAATTTTTTGCTTAATTGAACCGAACTCGTAAAAAATATAGATTTTTATATTTCTTAATTAAAATCATTTTCACGGGAATTTCATGTGATAGCTTGAGTTGTTAAAAGTGCCTTACTGCCTGTAGCTAGAGGGTTAACTCTTTAGTTTAGTGTTAAAAAAGTGCCTTACTGCCTGTAGCTAGAGGGTTAACTTTTTAGTTTAGTGTTAAAAAGTGCCTTGCTGCCTGTACCTAGAGGGATAACTCTTTAGTTTAGTGTTAAAAAGTGCCTTGCTGCCTGTAGCTAGAGGGTTAACTCTTAAGTTTAGAGTTAAAAGTGCCTTACTGCTGTAGCTAGAAGGTTAACTCTTTAGTTTAGTGTTAAAAAGTGCCTTACTGCTGTAGCTGGAGGGTTAACTCTTTAGTTTGGTGTTAAAAAGTGCCTTACTGCCTGTAGCTAGAGGGTTAACCCTTTAGTGTGCCCCTTGTATTGAGAATACAGTCTTACGTATAATTATCAGAAAATATGATGCCTCGTACAAACTCAAAGTTGTTCCGCTGCCTATGCAACTTGATGTATTTTTCGTAGTGTCTGTATTTAAATGTCTTTTTTTCTAACCAGAGAACACATGAAGAGGTGTACACGTTCATTGTATACAGTTTGGATTCATTTCTTATCATTTTACTGCTGGGGGAAGATTGATTGACGCCTCCAGTTGCGCACTCCATGTATATGTACGTTATTTTAAAATGACTCGGAGAAGTGTGACGCCCCCTCGGAGCCCATAATTTTTATGTTTGGAATAACACTGATTGAATTTAGTACTAGTTAAACAATATATTTGTTACTGCTTCTGACCATAAAGTGAAATGAGCAATGATGACTAAACACGCCTAGAGAACCACGTGGAGACAGCATGTCTGTCTCCTTTCTGTGACGTCATCAGTACCTAATAGCAACCAATCGTTACCCTAAACTCATATGTGCTGTTATATCAAAAATAATCGCAATGTATAAAGTAAAAGTGCATAAATGGTTAAAATAACCAGTTTATCTCTGGTGGTCGAACCTGGTAAATATTAGTCCAAGTTGTTGAAACTATTTTTATTTCAAACACAAGGTATTGGTTCGCGCATGCGTGATACCGTGCCGATTATATTTTTCACGATGAACCGAGACTGTTCACCACAACTGACTGGTTTAGTCCCTTCAGTAGTGTATTAGCACCAGTTTACTTATTTTTTTTAGCTAACTACATTTGAGTGTTGCATTCAGTATAACAGCCGACTACTAGTACGCTAGGTACGTCTTTTATTACCTTCTTAAACAGCTGTGGCCGAGACGCCATTCAGGAGGCTAAGGAAGGCAATCCCCTCCCTCGCACGTGGCCTTCGCGTCAGTGTGTCCACAGGCCCATTTCACCCTAATGCTGAAAACTCCTGTTTTTGTTCAATGAAAAGCGTGTGAAAGGAGCAGACGGGCCTCCACGTCCAACAGAAACAGGAGTTTTGCCATGTTCCATTCTTCCGTGTGTCCAGTATTTCCATTTTGCTCTACTGATCCCATGTGCGGAAATTTTTTACTCGCGTACGAAGGCAAATAAACGTTTTGTCTCGTCCGTCATTACGTTGACGTCATTGTTTTGCGCGAGTGGATGTATGTCTATGAAAGCCGTGCTTCCTGATTAGTGAGGGTGTGTGTTTTTATCGTAGAACATCCCGACCACACGTACGTAAAGCTCGTGAGGTGGCTTGTGCACACGTTGGTGATTTAATATCAGTGAAATACTGTGTGTGTGCGAGAACTCTCTGGATTACCTACCGTGTGATGTACCTACCTCAGCCAGATAAGCTTGTCACGTGAAAGACTGAACTTTGACACGCTCTCCATTGTCGATACCAGGCGTTTTATCAGACATTTAACTATTTATCATAGACAAGGTATTTGTCCCTAAATCACTCGCACGTTACGTCATTGAATGGTTGAACAACAATGCCGCTGTCTTCCAAAGTGCGTTTATATTTGTTTTAATAATTTCGGTTCAGTTTAGCCTACATCAACGATCTGGTGAGCTGGGTTGTCCGTCATCTTCACTGTTCAGATAACCATCGTGGTTTTGATGGGTCAGTTTGATAAACGGGTTAAATAATTTAGTGTTGGAGAAATTTTGTAATACATGATATTATAGTTTTTACGTGTGTGAGTAAACACACGTACTTGTTAGAATCAGGGTTAAGTCTTAGCCTAGTGTCTTAGAAATAGCTCAAGATCCGCAGTTTCGTCCATGTAAACCTTTTATACTACTACTTAATACGTATAATCAAGAGTAATGGATTGGCTCTTTTCTGTAGGACACTTAATTTTATATTCATAGCAATTAGATAAAAGAAAATGGAAACGGTTGCGGTTTTTCATGAAAAACAACTACATTGACAACGTCATTAAAAGTGGAGTCACCGAAGTGACAGCTACTCTGTAGTTAACTGTTCGTGATTTTTATCTTTTTTCAAATATATAAGCCGTTTATTGAAGAACCTACTAGACAGTCACTGGGCAACACTTGTGATATACTAGACAGTCGCTGGGCAACACTTGTGATATTCCAAACGGTCGCTGGGTAATATTTTTGATATTTCAAACGGTTGCTAGGTGACCGTTTCTTAGCAAAAATTATTGGAATGTCGGAGACAAACAGCAGGCTGTTGTCCCCATCCTCCAGTAGTGCTAGTATTTGCGATACAAGCACCTCTGAGCCAGTCACTAAATCCAATTTGGTATCCGATGATGGAGAGATTCAATGGGGAGAAGACGCGGACTGGATTATGTTGTTTGATAATATGATAAAACTGACAACTCAAAGTCCAAGCGCTCAGAGACGATCTTGTGGATGTAAAGGTTGGTTAATGACCATAGTCTTGCATTTCCTTATTATATTTTTTTTCTGGTATTTTATGTTGTACAAAAAAAAAATCTGGGAAATTGACAAAGTAACGAAAGTAATTTAATGTGTAAGACAGTTTTAAAATTAGTAACTTTTGAATTTCAAAAAAGGTAAGCAGGAAATATTGCTTAGTTTAACTTACATTTTTTTCCAAATTTAGATGTAGCTGCTTTGTTATGTTATTTTTGTTTAATTTTCTTACTACTGACAGCTATAACACCCTCTGTTTATTCAAGCAAAAAACTCGTTTAAAACACAAAGGATATATATATATATATATATATATATACAGCTCCCCCCTATCTTATAAATGAGAGGCTGAAACCAATAGCTGGGCGGATCATGAGAGCTTACATTACTCGAAACTACAGACCCCAGTTGATCGGGATTTGGGTTTTGTTGTTTATTGAACGCTTGAATGCTTTCACATTACAGTTCACCATACCTAAAAATAAAGAAAGTATTAGAGCTAATGAGAAAACTGAATAGTCTCAAGTTCTCAAGCGCCGGAGGAGGAGGGGCTTAAGAGGGCGTTGGCCCTCCAGTTTATATCTCCCCTCCTACCCCCGAGTTTCAGATTCCAAATTGATATAAAAATATGTAACAAATACAATTAAAGCTAAACGTATAATCTAAAGTAAGGTGTAATGGTAATGAATAAGGGTTAATAATTTCGATTACTTTTTCCAAAATCTACCCCCACCCCTGTAGCGGATATGCTGCCACCGGTACTGATGAACATGTGTGTATATAGAATATACAAGAAAATTCGCTGTTTGTAGAAAATCCAATTTCAAGAAATAATTAAAAACTATTCCTAGACGATGTTACGACCATTTTCAGAGTTTGTGAACGAAGTTCTTTCTATTTACCCCCCTCTTTTCGTAGGGTCGAACCTCTCTGGGTTTCCACCATTGGTTATTTTTAGTTTCGGAAACATGACCCATTTGGTTCTATTCCATACAAACCTCTCGTTGTTACTCTGAAAGTAGTTACAGTATATGAACAGAAGTCCTCTAAGCAATTCGTGCAATAAAAAAAAACTTTTTTTTATTGCACGAATTGCTTAGAGGACTTCTGTTCATATACTGTAACTACTTTCAGAGTAACAACGAGAGGTTTGAGACCAATCAAACAATATTCTCAGAATATTGTTTGATTGGTCTCAAATTCAGACTGGTTTGATTGGTCTCGGGTATCCGCGCAAAGCTACGCTGACCATCTCTAATTTAAATAGATTAGAGTGATGGCGAGGTTTTTTGTTTGTTTGTTTTATACTCCATACTACTTCGCGAACCAGAACAGGGTATATAGGTTTACCCCCTATCCATCCGTCCCGATTTTGTAGATAGGATATCGGAGGATATCATGAATGGATTTTGACCACTAATACAATAGGTACTAAAACTGATTACGTTTTGAAGGACAAATATGGAAACGTCACTGATACGTAGAAAATCTTATCCAACCTTGTGGACATAACATTTCAATGTAGGATGAATGGATATGGTACAAGCTTGTACAACAGATATATTACATATAAAGTTCTAGACCTGATTAACCTAAGGTCATTCAAACTGGGGGACTTAAACATACTGTATAACATTAGAGGGGATATCAATACGTAAAACAGACAGTTCTTATGCAAAAATGTTAAATAAAATAATAAAACGAAAATCAACTTTTTTTTTTACTTGTATAATCATTTATTTGTAAACATTAAAAAATTAAAAATATACAAGATAAAGAAACTTAAAACTCCACATGTTTCGTTGGAAATAATTCCACCATTTTCAGGAGAATCCATCAAGAAGTACACAACATTGCTTATAAACCTAAGGTACGTGTATAATTAGCATATTTCTACAATGGCACCATTTACAACAAAAATTTATTGATTGCGATAATGTAAAAATTCTTAAAAAGTTAACGAAAAAAAGATGAATTAAATATAAAGGAATCTTTAGAAATTGTTAAAAACAAAAATGAATTTAAATAGAGATTTAGGCCCAGGAGCCACCGAAATAATTTTTTTTGGAAACTATTGTTGTAAATGGCAGTATTGTACGAATAGGTTTGTATCTTAGGTTTATAAGCAATGTTATGTGTACTCCTTGATGGATTCTCTTGAAGATGGTGGAATTATTTTCACCGAAACATGTAGAGTTTTTTTAAGTTTCTTTTGACTTGTATATTTTTAATTCTTCAATCTTCACAAATAAATAATTGTGCAAGTAAAAACGTTGATTTTCGTTTTATTATTTTATTTATCTGGCATGGCCAGGTGATTTAGGGCGCTCGACTCGCAACCTGAGGGTCGCGGGTTCGAATCCCCGTCCCACCAAATATGCTCGCCCTTTCAGCCGTGAGGCCGTTATGACGGTCAATCCCACTATTCGTTGGTAAAAGAGTAGCCCAAGAGTTGGCGGTGGGTGGTGATGACTAGCTCTAGTCTTACACTGCCAAATTAGGGAGGGCTAACGCAGATAGCCCTCGTGTAGCTTTGCGCGAAATTCGAAAAACCAACAAAAACAAAAGAAACAAGTTAAGTGGGGATATAGTTGTTCCATAAACATAATTTGTAACTTGTTATTTTTTTAATTTGGAAGCATGATAAAAAATGTAATTCTATACACAGAACAAAAGTAACAAAATTGTTTTACTGCAGGCCTTAATGTTTATCTTAGGCCCTATGAGAAAATAAAATTCCCTGATTTTAAATCAGATATATACAGAAATAGAAAGAGAGAAGTTTGTCTTTGTTAAGAACCTGGTTGACATGTTGCTCAAACACCAACTGAAGATTTCTAGGGGGGGGGATCCGATTCGGCGCCAGATGTTATGCTCTGTTTAGAAACAAGTAGTTTGGCGCCAGATGTTATACTCTGTTTAGAAACAAGTAGTTTGGCGCCAGATGTTATGCTCTGTTTAGAAACAAGTAGTTTGGCGCCAGATGTTATGCTCTGTTTAGAAACAAGTAGTTTCTGCTGTACGGTACAGCA